GCATTGTACCTAATACCAGTTTCTGTGGGCCTAACTCGGGCGGGTGGCTGGTGAAAAGCTCACATGTGGCAGTGGGGCTCAGTGGCTTTTGGCGGAGAGATTTATCGTAACAGCTGTCCAGCAGCCCAGATCACTCAGAGGCCATTACATGACAGAAGGACAGCTTAACCCAGAAACATGTAAAGCAGCTTCACAGTGAGTTGGTGAGTTATTAACAGTACTGGATAAAAAGTGCCACAGTGATGCTCCCACAAGGATTTAATGTACTTAACTGCACTGACCTGCATACTAAAAACCACTGAAGTATAAACTTCAGTGTATATCTTATCTCCATAAGGGAGAATATAGTGGGGGGATCAAAAGACCCACACACACCTCTCTGTTCTCCTGCCACGTAACTACTGTTAGCAAGCCATAATGTGCATTTCCTGAATAAAGAACTTATTACTGAGTAACTGTCCAAATATGTTTGCGATACTCATTACATCTGCATTTCTTCCAAAATACTTAAGAGTTTGTGACCTCAGCATGAGAAAGATAGCACCGGGAGAATTATGCTATTGTGAGTCACTCCCAAATCTCTGCACCACACACCCTCTCCCAGCATTGCAGGTGTGAGTGACATGCAGCGTTGCCACTCTTGCTGCCAGAAGTTACTGAGAATCTAGTACTTGGTAGATACTATGTGAGTTCTCCATGACAACACTGAGCCAAACAAACATGGCTCCCACCTTCATGAACCAAGAGTCTTTCACAGACAGAAAGAGTCAAATAACTGAGTACAAATGTTAAGAGAAGACTGAGCAGTGCTGGGACACTGAACATGGTACTACCAAGAGGCCTTTGGATTACGCTGGGGTACCAGTGAGTATGTGGCAGGTCAGTCTCGGGAGACCTGAAGGAGTAGGGTTAGCAAGCAGAGATGCAGATGTCATGTGGAGAGGAACACTCACAGAGGGGAATCAGCTTTGGAAAGGGCCATGTGCCTGGTGCAGTGTAGACTGAAATGGGACTAAAGAGGGAAGGACACATCCTATGTGCTTTGCATCAAGCTGGTTGCTTTCCAAGGGAATGTGGAGTGATGGCCTCTAGCAAGAGACTACTTTTTCCAGGACTCCAGACATCACAGTTTAAAAGAGCTTGAAACCCTGAGAAACTTCTCCTATTGCATTTATGTGGTGACATTTGGCCAACAGATATTAAGGACATGGAGTAAGCAAGGCATTATAGTACTGCAAAGTCCCTCGGCTGGAGGTACCATCTGGTACACTTGAGCCAGAAGGAACAACCTGGCACGTGGGTAAGCAGCTCACTGATGCTTGTTCTACCAGCCTGGCAGCCTGGCTAAAAAAAAATGAGCACTCCTATTGAAGCAGAGGGGAGATGTGCAGAAATGAGCATGAAGGGAACCAGATTTTTACTCCACCCACATTTAAATTCATATCCTCTGAATAAAAATCTGGTACTCTGTCCTATTCAAATTTGGAACTACTAGAACCTGGCTAAGGAGATGTAGGTCATGGCACACACTGGTACCTTCCCCAGGTGGAGTCCCCTATCATTAGTATAGTTATTGCTTCTCCACCCATCCCCAGCCTTTAGAAAGACTTGGCAGGTAGGAGAGGACACTCGCTAGGCAGGTCATAAAAATGTCTGTCCAAATAAACCAGCATTCCCCAATAACCCACAGACCACCCCCAGGCAAATGCTGCCCTCTTTCCTGTGACATGTGGATGAACTAGCGTATGAAATGACCTTGAAATTTGTTTTGTGCAAGTATTAACATGTGTATATAACAATGTATGTATAACTAAGGTTATATACATGTGCATTTCGGAAATGAAAAAGAAGGCATCGACAAAGAATGCTTCCCCCAGCACCCAGAGTGTTGTGGGATGATCTAGAGAAGTTTCTTTAGTATGACCTTCAGCTGGGCAAAGATCCAACCACTGGAAAGTCAACCTAGAGCAACTGAAGGCATGTTCTGAGCATCTGCTGGCACTCCAAGAAAACAGAAAGTGAAAAGTTATGAGCGTGTGTACTCTTGTCCTTGGCCATTCCAAGGATTGTTAACCTCAGACCTGCAGTCTGTCCAAGGAAATATTCTTTTCAGTGTATACGCTTAGAAGGAGAAATGAAGGGGTGTAAAGGGGGCAAAAGAGGAAGGGGAGGAAGACAGGAGGAGGTGGCTCCTGCCATTTTAACATTTGAAAAATATTAAACCAACATATACCAACTAATACACAAGGTTCCGGAGCCTGAATCCCCATCTTTGCATTTGCTACGCTCCACTCTGTTTCCACTTCCCGACAGCAGCCTGATTTCCACCTGGGTATCCATTTTCTCAGTATCCATTTACTGTGCCCATGCATTGTCAGTAAATCTGAGCCTGCCTCCAGCTAGAGGATCTAAAAGCACTCCGGACTGTAAGCCTTCCTCTGGGTCCTGCCAAGTGAAGGTCCAGGCACATGACTTAACTTCAAGAAGCAAACCTACGTTCCAAGACTTTGACTTCTGAACCTAATAAAACACTGACGTGCGAGGCAAAGTTCGTGTACTCCAGCCAAGCATGTTGAAATAGAAAGAGGCTATCTGCCTTCTTCCAGGCAAACTGAATAAAATGTCCTGCTTTAGTGGCCAGAATCTGTTTTTCCTTGAAACCAAAGTATATTAGTAAATATTTAGTGCCTTCAGAGAAAAAAATGAAGGTATTTACAATTGGTAATCTTGCCATAAACAGAGTAAACTACACAACATTGTGGAAGGAGACCCTAGTTACCTATAGCTTATGCTGAAGAAACAAGGATCCAGCTAATAGTCACCATAATATCTCACTCTAAACAAACAGATCTTAATTCCTCCTTTGCCTGGAGCTGACTGACTTGTTTTATACCTAGTCTTCTTTACCATTTTATCGTTAAATGAAATGTTACTATAATGGTCATTTTGAAAAGATTTGGGGGCTAGAGAGATGGCTCAACAGTTAACAACACTGGCTGCTCTTCCAGTAAAAACAAGGTTTGATTCTCAGAACCCAAAGGCTCACAACCATCTCGAACCCCAGGGCATCCAACACCCTCTCCAAGGCCTCCAAGAACACAGCATACATGTGTTGTATAACAGACATATATGTAGGCAAAACACCCATACATGTAAGCAGAATTAAAAATAAGCTTGGGTGAGTTTGCTGAACCCTAATCTGAATTTCCAACTTTTCTGGTAGTATATGAGACACATGTACAGTGAACGTTGTTCTTTGACACAGATGACCGGAAACATAACCAAGAATGACTCACCTTTGTATGTCCACCCTTCCAGGAACCAATGAGAACGCCACACACTTCCAAGAGCAGCATAAAGGCCCACATAGTGTCACATGTCTACAATCACAACACTCCAGGAGTGGCTGTAGGATAAGGATTCAAGGCCAGCCTCAGCTATGTAGCAAGTTCAGGCCAGACTGAGCTATCTGAAACCCTGTCTCAAAAATTCCAAAACAAGGGGCTGGAGAGATGGATCAGCAATTAAGAGCCCTTGCTGCTCTTACACAGATGGTTCACAATTGCCTGTAAGACTTCTGGCCCCTAATGACAAACACCCCCCCAACACACACACAGAGGAATACATACATACATACATACATACATACATACATACATACATACATACCATAAATAAAAACAAACAAATCTTTAAAAGCATTTAAAACAAAACAAAGCATGGCAACAGAAAGAGAATAGCCCAAAGGGCAAACGCTGGTGAGCTGAGCTTGGAAAAACTAGAAGAAAATTTTAATCTTTTCTCTGTTTTGTAAACATAGAGTTCCTGCATGGGACAATGAAAAAGTTTTAGAAAAGGAAATGGTGATGACTGCCCAACATTAAAATTCTATTTAATGCCTCTAAGAGTTACATACTAAAATATATTTAAACTGATAAATGTTGTATTTCATCTACTTTATCACCATAATTTTTAAAACTTTCTGATGAAATCTAGAAGCAATCAGAGTTTGAGAAAACAGTCACACATTGTGAAAACATACATAAGCCACTTCTTTCTGAAAATAATTGGGTGGTATTTATCTGAAGACTTGCAACATTGCACCCTTCCTTCCATTCATTTCTCTTCTGAGAAATTTTCTAATTAAAAAAAAAAATGTGTGAGAATGGTCACAATTCCAGCATGACTTTGACACTCTGCAGCTGCTCTTGGTTTTGAAGACAGTTGTCACTCTCAAGTCAAGGCTGCCCTGCAACTTGAAATCGTCCTGCTCCAGCCTGGTGAGTGTGAGATTTCAGGAATGTGTTGCCACATCTGACTCCTAGTATGACTTTTAGAAGCCAATGTTTTAAAGTTTGAATGTTACCACAGTGGATTTGTTAAGTATTATATATTTGCATAATCAAATGCTATGGGGTTATTTAAAATTACAGCATAGGAGAATATTTAATGATATAGAAACGTTTCAGTACAATGCTAGTGAAAAAGACATGGGGTTTAGCATAAGTGCTGGGTTTTGGGGCGTTGATTTTATTTATTTATTTATTTATTTATTTATTTATTTATTTATTTATTTATTTATTTATTTATTTATTTATTTATTTATTTATTTATTTATTTATTTATTTATTTATTTATTTATTTATTTATTTATTTATTTATTTATTTATTTATTTATTTATTTATTTATTTATTTTTTGGTGTTTTCGAGACAGGGTTTCTCTGTGTAGCTTTGGATCCTATCCTGGCACTCGTTCTGGAAACCAGGCTGGCCTCGAACTCACAGAGATCGGCCTGCCTCTGCCTCCTGAGTGCTAGGATTAAAGGCATGTGCCACCAATCCTGGCCTTTATTTTTATTTTTAGCATAAATCTTCTATTTCTTACACGTCTTGGATTTCGTTTTTCTCCAGACCATTCCTCTTGACCCTCCTCCACTTAATGGAGGTTATTGAGAAAAGAATAGCTAAAAAGAGGCAAGGCATGGTAGCCTCCACATCTTTAATCCCTGCACACCAGGACAGCCAGGGCTACACAGAGAAACCCTGTCGGGGTGTGGGGGGGAGGACAAGAAGAAGAAGAAAGATGCTTTGGCTACTTATTGCTCTGTCTTTTCTTTCAAGATTTTTGTTTGTTTTGTTTTTAGCATTACATCATCTTTCCCCAAAATAAAGTCTTTTTGTTCTTCTCCATGCTATGAAAATGACCTTAACAGGATATTTTCTGGTTTCTCTCTCCTGGAGTTGTCATTTGAGGGCCAAGCAGCTCTCTGGTACTGAGGTTGGGCAAGCATCTGTGGTTGGCACCTGGTGCGGTAGAGGAGGGCTTCTTTAGTCACTTCCGGTTTAAGTAGATGCCTGTCTGCTTTTCCTTCCCTGCTGGGATTGTTTAAACCACCTTGATGAACCCGAGTTACCAGAACCCCTGCGAGACTCTGTAAGGAGCACAGCTGATAAGGGTAGTGTTATTTCCTTCAAAACTGGATCAGCGTAGGAAAGCATTTTGAAAGTTCTTTCCTACCTCACCTTTCATATCATCTTCACCCCAAGGCAGAGGGGAAGACTGGAAGGCACGCTGTAAGTCTACTCATGTGTACCTTTGTCCCACATTTTTTGTTGTTAAGTCCCGTTGCTGCTGGCAGGACAGTTTGAACTATTTTTCTGGACACTGCTGTAATAGCCCATCCCTGTCTCACAGACAGGTCCTACAAACACAGTCCTACAAACTATCCCATTGAGTTCTGCATATATTGTAGAATGAACTAGTAGGAGTGGTAACAATTTCCCTTTTCTAAATAGCATTTTTACTTTTTACATTTCATTGATTTATTGTGTGTACATGCACAAATACATGTGCCAGAATGCACATGTGGAGGTCAGAGTCAGTTCCCCTTCCTTCCTTCCTTCCTTCCTTCCTTCCTTCCTTCCTTCCTTCCTTCCTTCCCCTTCCTTCCTTCCTTTCTCTTCACCTTTCCCTTCCTTCCTTCTCCTTCCCCTTCCTTCCTTTCCCTTCCCCTTCCTTCCTTCCCCTTCCTCTTCCTTCCCCTTCCCCTTTCTTCCCCTTCCCCTTCCCCTTAAGGAAATACTGAGCCTTAAGTACATCTTAGTGGCAGATGCTTGCCCAGCATGTGTGAGGCCTGGGATTGAGCAGTCAGTGCTACCAAAAACAGGAGAGAAAGAAGAGGATGTATAACTAGAAATAAGCTCCCCTGTTCTCTTATTCTGAACCTAAATATTTTTCAGTCTCCCTAATATCCTTTCCTAGAATATGTTGTTAGTTGGAAAAGAGGTGCACCTTTGAAACTATTTGTCTTGACAATTCTTTTAATTTTTGAGATGGGGTTTTTAAGTTCTGACTGCCTGGAACTCTTTATGAAAACTAAGCTGACTTTGAATTCATAGAGATCCATCTACCCCTGCCTCTCAAATGCTGGGATTAAAGTTATACACTATCACACCTGGTTAATTATGTCTTCCTATTTGTGTGTGTGCAAGCAAGTACAACTGCCCATGGAGGCTAAGAGTGCCGGACCTCTGAAGCTGTCATTACAGGCTGTTGTGTGCCACCTGATGTAGTTGATAGACCTGAATCAGGTCCCTGTAAGAGCAATGGGTCCTCTCAACTACTGCAACACCTCTTGATGACATGGTGTTTCTCAGAGCAAGTTTGTGCTATATGATCAGTTCATGTCACAAAATAGTTATTCCATCTTTCTGTGCTTCTGATCCCTCCTCTATAAAATGAAGAGGAGAATTGCATTTCTAGCCCGGCATAGTGGTACATGTCTTTGATCCTATGCAGAGGCAGGTAGATCTCTGAGTTTGAAGGCAGCCTGGCCTATAAAGTATGTTCTAGGACAGCCAGTGCTACACAGAGAAACCCTGACTTGAAAAACAAAACAAAAACAAAATTGGCCTTCTTTGGTAAAAATGTTTTGAAGGTTAAATGGGTCAATCTGCAAGCAACACAGAGCACATAGATCATGCCTGGTCATAGCACATACCTGGTGTTCAGTCACTGTTCACCACGTTGGAATGCTCCTCTCAGTTTTCACTTCTCCTTTGCTTAAACTGACTCCCTTTGGAATGTAACTCAGTCTTCTGGATTTAAAGAACATTTATACTCGAATGGCCCCAAATACATTTTGCAAACATCCAGACCTCTAGACACTCATTCAGTGTTCACAGGATATCTCTATTTGGATACTTAACAGCATTACCTTCTATAGACCCAGTCCCTACTCCTGTTCTAAGCCGATCCCACATCTAGACTTTTTCCTGTTATTTAATGTCAACATTATCTTTCCAACTGCTAAAGTCCCAGAAACTTGGACCTAATCTGCAGGTTTCTTTTTAGTCAATTGTCTTCCTGCAAAACTATAGCTGGAATCTGGCCTTCATTCCACTCTTATGCCTTGCTTCCACCCCTTCCACAGCAATCCCCTGCCTCAAGCCACTATTTACCTCTATCTTAGATAACTGAAATAGATTTTTTTATTACTTTTAGTTTTTCAAAATAGGATTTGTCTCTGTAGCTCTGGAGCCTGTCCTGGAACCAGCACTGTAGTCCAGGCTGGCCTCAAACTCACAGAGATGCACCTGTCTCTGTCTCCAGAGTACTGGGACTAAAGGTGTACACCACCACAGCCCGGCTCAAACAAAAAAAAAATTTAAGGCCAGAACAAGGGCCTCGAGAGATGGCTCTGTAGTTAAGAGCATTAGAGTGCATTCTATTCTTGCCAAGGATCCTAGTTGGGTTCTTAGCACCCACAAAATGTGGCTCACAATCACCTGTAACTCCAGCTCCCGGGGGAATCCCATGCCTCTTCTGGCCTCCTTGGGCACTGTACTCATAAGCACATACCTACACAGAGAGACACATACATGTAATTAAAAATAAAATAAATTAGGCAAGGCATGGTGGCACATACCTTTAATTCCAGAACTCAGGCATCAGGAGCAAATAGATCTATGTGCATGTTAGGCAAGCCTGTTCCACACAGCAGTTCTGATCCTGTCTCGATGGTGATGGTGGTGATAATGATGAAACAAATCTTTTAAAAATCAAAACAAAAGCCTGGCGGTGGTGGCACATGCCTTTAGTCCCAGCACTGGGGAGGCAGAGGCAGGCAGATCTCTCTGAGACCAGCCTGCTCTACAAGATCTAGTTCCAGACAGCCTCCAAAGCCACAGAGAAACCCTGTCTCGAAACCACCTCACCCCCCGACCCCCCCCGCAAAAAAAAATCAAAACAAAAAAAAAATTGGAAACAGTCAAAGTGTGTAGCAATAGGAAACTAAGAAGTTATGCTATAGCTAAACGGTAGATAATTTTACAAAGTTAAATATGGATTTTAAAAAATCAATCACATTTTTTGTTGCTGTGGTTTGATTTGTTTTTTTGTAGCCTTGGTTGTCCTGGAACTTTGTAGACCATACCGGCTTTGAACTCACAGAGATCCACCTGCTTCTGCCTCCTGAGTGCTAGGATTAAGGGTGTGTGCCAGCATCACCCGGCTAATCACACACTGTCAATGAAAAAAACTTATGAAACAGCAAGAACACATGATCCTAACTTTGCAAATTTAAAATATATACGGATAGAGGAAGTTATTAGAAATGCGAATAGCAGTTGTCACATAGGAATCACACACAAGTAACATAACTCAAGGCTGAAGGCTCATAGGAGAGCCAAGCTACCACTAGCAAATTTGTTCAGGTGAAAATTCTAATCACCACTTGTTGCAACGTTCTGAAGTTAAGCAACCACCTCTTTTGCAGGGTACAAATGGCTTACCAAGTATTTCATGATTAAAAAGTGTATTTTATTGGATTCGTTGTTAATGAAAATCATTCTTACTTAGCATACTTAGCAAATAGGAAAAAAATTCTCCTAATGCTTTTAGGAGTGTCTGCCCTTGATGTTTGCCAGGTTTGGATGCTGAGCAGAGCTTGTTTTTGGAGTGACTGATACAGTTTCCCAGAAGTTTCTTATCAGTTCTAACTTGCTTTCAAAAGCATTACAAGAATGAGATATAAATGACTTATGCTTAGTGCCTAATTGGGGTTGTTTGGTTTGGGTTTTTTTTTTTTTTTTTTTTTTTTTTTTTTTTTTTTGTTTTTTTTTTTCAAGACAGGGTTTCTCTGCGTAGCTTTGGAGCCTATCCTGGCACTTGCTCTGGAGACCAGACTGGCCTCGAACTCACAGAGATCCGCCCGCCTCTGCCTCCCCAGTGCTGGGATTAAAGGCATGCACCACCAATTCCCGGCTGTGCCTAATTGG